TTTAGCTTCCTAGTTTTTCTAATCTCCGAATTGGTAATTAATTCGCCAAAATCTTACGCGCCTGTATGTGAGGCCTAAATGCACTGAGAGATGAATTTAAAATTTGTGAATTGCATTTGGACAGTAAACACTATCCTAAGGTTTCAGCTTTCCAAATTTTGTGGTTAGCAACTTAAAAATTTTCGACGTGATCATACGTGAGTCCTGGACGCATGTGAAAGTTTAATTTAAATTTGCTGAGCCGCACTTTCGCTCGGAACAATTCCTAAAAATTTCAGTTTACCAAACTTCGTCATTCCTAAGTTAGTAATTTTTGCGCCATAAATTTCACACAACCGCACATGATGCCTAGGCACGTGTGAAGGCTCTGTTCAAATCTGCGATGACTACCCAGGCAGGGAACATTCCACGGAGTTTTCCTGTTCCCGGCTTTTCTGGTTCGGGCGTGTGCAAAAGCTAAATTTAAATCAGCGGTGCCGTTCGAGACCAGCAAGAACACACACAGGGCCTCGATAACATGCATTTTGTGCAACTGTTGCAGTAGAAAACCCATAAAAATTTTTACTTAAAGTAGACCACATCGTATTTGTCCTTCATTGGATGGCTGTATTCAGCACATTATTTCAGGCGAATGAACAAATAAATTTGTTGGTTCGAATGAATCCAGTAACCCTTCCAGCTGATATCTGTGGCGTACGAACACTGGAATCTGCGCAGGGTGCTGAAAAAGAAGAGCTGGACAGACTCCTGAAAAGAGCTGAAAGGATTCTCCCGGTTAGTTTGTTAATGCGTTTTAGCATTTTTATGCAAATACAAGAACTCGTACTGTTTGAAGTTTGCGACGCGTATGTGTATTTGGATCTTTGCCATCCATATTTAACTCAGTAAGCATAGAAGCTAGGAAGTTGGAATTTCACAGAGATTTTCCTAGTCCATGCGCCATTCAAACAGCTTAAATTCGACGTTCATATACTCTTGGGTCTCATTCACTGAGGTCTAAAAGAAATAAATTTTCTTGTCGGGGAAACGATTTCGAAAACCAGGCAGGCCAGAAAGTTAAAAATTCATGTAGGTTTCCTCTGTCCATGTATAAGCACAGCTATCACGCACGTCTGCGCCACGTTTGCGGAAACGTCGAAGTTGAAATTCAGCCGCTGCTGGCAAAATGTCGACTCCAAAATCAGACTGAATTGAGCGCCAGTCTTCACGAGAATATTTGTCAAGTGCACGTTAAATAAGCTCCGGCGCGTGCCTCTGTTGCCCATCTGGACGCGTCAAACCGTAAAATGAACTTCTGGCTAGATGTATGTCCTGCGTGTGGACCCATCAAATGTATAAAGTGAAAATCACGTCCTAGTACAGGCGATCTTTCTCCGAAATGGAATCATGTACCAGCACATAGTCGCAGCGGTAAGTCTGGCGTGTCATATTTGGGTTTTGATTTCAAATCGGTTTATTGAAAGTTGAGTTACGGCCTTGATTTATCACTTGGACGGAGATAAGTTAGGTACGATCACGCTGTATGGGAATTGGACTGTGTTCGTGTAGTAAATTTGAAGCTGTGGTCGTAGCTCCTCCTTGAAAGCGAAAAATAGAAATAATTTTGACTCAAAATGGATTTTTGTTTTAGTTGTTATTTTGGTCCACGTTGTCAGGTCTTCAGAAACATCTCGTTTTCGTCTAGTTTGATTAAACATGTCGGAATTAGAAATTCACGTTTTCTGAGGATCCGATGAACTGTTTTGGATATTACTTATATTTCTTAAAGAAAAGCTACGACTCACCAGATGTGTTTAAAATGCGCTAGTAATGCGTTGTACTAGCAAATCGCAGTGCTGTTATATTTTTTAAGATTTAGGGACCAACACCGTCAATGGGACAGTCATTCGTTACGAATAAATGATAAATTGGTATTCACGCATACCTGCATGTCAAAACTATCATCAACGTACATGCTTTGAAAATGAAGCCATCGACAGCTTTGCCAGCACGAGACTGATTTTGGCATGTTCGGCATCTAGAGTTACTTTTAAGTGCTTCCGCCTTTCACTGGAAGTGAATACGAAGGGGATTCTAACTTCCGTGTAATTATTTCAGTGTAGCATACGCTGTTTTTCCCCTAATTTTGCGCCTACTTCCAGGAAGCGCGACTGTATCAGATTCCATACATTGCTGATACATCGAAACCGAAACGCAAGCAAATACTCGAGAAAAAGAGGCACCAGGAAAACGTCGATTCTATCAACCAGCAAATTGATGATGTAATCCTTTATTTGTTCCAAAATAATAGATGTGAGGTCTACAAAATGGGTGGCTAATTGGTCCCTTGACGCCTCTTCGGATATCATCAAGCCTGAAATCTGGTATCCTTGTAAACTCACATGCAGTATATCCCCCATGCATCTTGTTTTATGATTGAAGAAGAGTCCACTAGATGTGACTGATGCTATCTCTCTTGACTCCAACAGGTTGTTTTTCGTTTGGTTATTGTAATTTTTTCATTTAATGCGCAAACTTACGGTGCTTTTAGCTAGCGATGGATATCCGTCGATTCTGGAATAAATATCATCCTGGCGAAAAGCTCCCTTTCTTGTTCTCAAGCCTTAAAAGTATGACGTCAATCAAATCCGAGGTAACTTATGTTAATCACACTTGTAATTAAAATACTACACTTTGTTTGCTTTCTTTACTGCGTTGTCAACCGCAGGTCAGGCTAGCAGTTTTTCAAGCTACCTAAGCCTTACAGAACAAAGTAGAGTGTGCTTAGAGCTGTTTGTAAGCTAAAAAAGGGCATATCTGGGGTGCGACAAAATAAGGCACATTTGAAGCTGCCATGTTTGCTCTAACTCCTGTATCATAAAAATATACTTTAACTTATGGTATGAAACCTACAAATATTATTAAATCAATGGAAAATCAAATATTTGATAAGCG